GCCTCCCTGCCTGAAAGGCTCTGATTCTCAGTCTTCTCCTGGCCCCTTCAACTGCACCCTGGAGGCAGATTATTTTCATCTACACGGACGCTTAGTCTGTGTAACATAGTCAGGAACACAATGCTGGAATCCTCACCATTTCCAGGTTAGTCCAGGCTCCGCCACTAATTCAGAAATTAGAATAACTGACACCTGCTGGGCACTGAGGCCACCTTTGTCCTACCTCTAAAGAAAGAAGGAAGACAAGAAGTAATCTCAGGAAATTCCAAGCATAGATTGACAGACTACAATAGGTGTCATTTCTATGAAAGCTGAAGATCTAGACAGCTGCTGCCTGCTACCCTGACTGGGCCAGGTGGCTGTTTATGCAGAACAAGACAGAAATCAAGTTGAGGCCGGCCTCACCCAGAATTACCAGAAACTTTCCTGGGTCTCCCTTTTGCAGGTTACATACTATGAATGACGGCTTTTAAAAGTTATTATGGCTAGGCAGTGCTAATGCATGCCTTTAATCCTAGCACTCAGGAGGCAGAGACAGGTGGAAATCTGCGAGTTCGAGGCCAGCCTGGTCTACAAAGCGAGTTCAGGACAGTCAGGGCTCTTTACCCAGAGAAGCCCTGCCTCAAATAACAACAACAACAACAACAACAATACTGTAATCACTGCAAAAACCTGGGCTGGGTGTGGTGGTACACACCTATAAATAATCCCAGCAATGAGAGAGGAAGAACAAGAGTTCTGGCCTGGGCCCGGTGGTGAGTTTAAAACAAAAACAAAAACAAAATCACATACACAAATTTCCATGTGACTGTGACAGTAACAGGACACAAGTCCCAGCTGGCAAATCTGTTTTCACAGATGTAAAATGCAAAGCAGACCAAGTTGCATAACTGGAACCACAAGCATTTTAACTAATTATCTCATGGGGCCCTAGTGCCCTTCTGATGCAGATCAGGTGTTTTTCACCCAGAGACATTAAGGTCTCTGGGGTAAGAAGCAGAAAGCCAGTTTCAGCACTCAGTTATACCCAGCACAATTTTCGTATGGTTGAGTTCAGACCCCAGACTGGCAGAGAGGGTGAAGGGCAGAGCTTCCAGCACCCTCATGCTGATGAAGCTTAATTTCTGTCTGCTTTACAGATAAACTGAAAGTTACAAATAATCTTTTGTTTGAGCAGGGCTAATCCTCCTGCCTTTACCCTTCAAGTAGCAGTACTCCAGGCATGTGCATAAGCCACACAGTTTTAACCCTAAAAGATTTTAAAATAGGGACAGAGAAGACGGCTCAGTGGGAGAAGACACTTGCCACCGAGCCTGAGGTGGCAAGGGCAGCCCCAGAACATAAAAGGTGAAAGAAGAGAACCAATCCCTGCAAACTGTCCTCTGAACCCCACAGAAACACTGTGGCAGGTGCACACACACGCGTGCACACACACACACGTGCACACACACACGCACGCACACACACGTGCATACATAAACTAAATACATAAATGCAACAAAAGCAGTTTAAATAGGTTCTCATTACGCAGTCCTGGATAGCCTAGAGCTCCATGATTCGTCTGCCTCTGCTCCCAGTGCTGCCATGTGCCAGCTCCCGGGTAAAAGTTAGTAGAGAAAATACATAGACAGCTGTCGACCCAAGATTTCAGTGTTAGGACCGATGCACCAGCTGTGGTGGCCACGCCTTTACTCCCAGCACTCGGGAGGCAGAGGCAAATGGATCTCTGAGTTCAAGGCTATCCTGAGCTACAGAGTGAGTTCTAGGACAGCCAGCGCTGCACAAAGAAACCCTGTCTCAAACAAACCAAACAACAAAGATGCACTCCCCTATCCTGCTAATAATAATAATAAATTAGAAAAATGAATGAATGCTTTAATAATTATGATATGCTATGCAGAAATAAAAAAGAATGAGAAATATATATGCTCTGATGAGGGGAAAAGCATCAAAATATTCCATTAAATCAAAAGACACATGTAATATATGTAATATTTACAAATGAGGGGTCAGGCTGGGCACTGTGGTACATGCCTGTAATCCCAGCACTTGGGAGATGGAGGCAAAAGAACCAGTTTAAGGTCATCTTCTATTACAAAGTAAGTTTAAACATAGACAATTTTTCCCTCTCCCCAAAAAGTGGACCACTAAGACACACATAAAAGGGGAAGACAAATAGAATATTTTTGTTCTGGAATATGAAAAGAAACAAAAGCCCAGGAAACGGATGGAAGGTGGGGGATGGGAGGAAAGGTACACTTCCTGTTCAACAGGATGGCCTGGGATCATCCTGTCAGCAGCGTGCACACTGAGAGTCTAAACTATTGTCCTAACAGAAAAGCAAGTGCAAAGGTCAGACCACGCATAAAACGCACCGCTTAAAATGTGCCATTGAGCTGGCAAAACCAAAACAAATAAATAAACAACAAAAAACCCAAACCTGCTCTCAAGCTCCCGAACACTCAGAAAGTACATTTAATTCAGCTGGTTCAGCTCTGAGGCATCTATGGGACCCGAGTAAGCATGACTTCTGAGCAGGGCAGGGGGCACAAAGACAGGAGATCTGGAGACCAAAACCCTCTGGTACAGAAGGAGCCACACGAGTAATAGGGAGCAGTTCCCGGTTGGTTAGCATAGGAAAGTCATTAAACCTCTCCTCTTTGTCTATCGTGATATAAGGAAAAAAAACTTTCCTGAGAATCTACAGACATAAGTTGATCTTGTTACGCTTCCCATACAGCCTCATGACTTAAAGGTGGGAAGAGAGAACTGGTTCCACGGAGTTGTCATCTGACTTCTGCATGCTGTGACGCAGGCGCCCTCCCCACATCATATGCAGACAATAATAATAGATATAGTGAAGTCAGAAGTGATAGATTCATAAAGAAAGTAATTAAAAATATTCTACAGGAGTTACCTGGGGAAGGATAGTGGAAAGGGGGCTTCTTGTGTGCACCAAGGTCAGTAATATAACATTCTACTTCCCACAGTGACCTTGGAAGCATGAGTGTTCATTTACTTTTTATTCTTTGGTATTTAGAAAAAGGGCCTTTCTATGTAGCCCAGGCTGGCCTCAGATCATGATCTTTTTGCCTCACATTCCCAAATGTGTTATATAATATATTAAATGTATTTTATGGAGGAAAAGCATGCACATATACCTGAGATAGTCTCTCTGTGTGACCTAAAACTCACATGAAGCTTGTTTCATTCCTGCCTTTGCCTCCTGAGCTCTAGGACCACAAAGTATGCCACCCCTTCATATATCTTTTGAATGCTATGAGGAACACATTATAGGTCAATGAAAAAAAAATCAGTGGATTTACAATGCTATCTTCTGCTCTGATACACAAGTATCAGGGTGACACATCAGGGAAGGATTCAGCCAAGCTTAGAAGCACAACTTGCACAGTGACAAATGTGTGAGACACTACAAAACCATAGAGCATCACAAGAGTCCTTTTCCTTCACAAGTAAAGTCAGATGCACTGGAAGCTGGACCTCATGCAAGCCCAAACTATCCCACAGCAAACTGAATGAAAAAAGGAAATGAGAAAGGAAAGGGACATGACCGCTCCTGGGAAGGTGGAGGAGAAAGTTTATTACAGACACACGGACGAGCACAGCCAGGGGCAGAGACCCCCAGGGGAGTCCAGAGTAGACATGACCAGACTGAGCTGTGCGTGTGCGAAAGGGGAAGGGAGAAAGGGAACCAGGTGCAGGAGTCAGGAGATCCAAAGATACAAAAAGAGAGTGGGTAACCAAAATGGTCAGATTGTACAGGGAAAAGCAACGCAGTCCCCAGGCTGGAGAGTTATGTGGGGGCAATGCCAGCTAAGAGGGCTCTGTAACAGGTAGGGGCTTATGGACTGCAGGAAGAACCGGGCAGCAAGGTCCGCTTTGATATGTTCCTCAGCCATTTTTCCCAGGGCTGAAACCTAACACAAATGATTAATAGAGTTTTGTGTAAATGGACCTCACATTGTAAAGGCCTACAATGGCTTCTAAAGTATATCTGAGAAGCAGAATGTTTCTATTCACAAATTTACTTTGATTCAGAACAGTTACTTGCTTCCAGTTGCTGCTTGTGAACAGAATTCTCTTTCAAAGTGCTACAAATGTTCACATGCACAGGCCTTGTACCTTGCGTGGGCAGTGCAATAGAGTCAACCCCACCGGCAAAGGTATGGGTGAGCCAGCCCTGATGTTGTGAGCATGGAAGAGTTCACCTGTTATGTGGCAGCATGGGTGGGAGGGAAATGTCCGGTGTCCCATGTCCCACATCCCCTCATCACCCCAGGCAGGTGGGAAAGCTAGCCCTGAGGTCATGAGAGCAGGAGAGCTGGCCCTGCCCCTTATCTACTGCAGCACTTGGGAGAGTGGCCCCTACGTCATGCCCGGGAGCTAATCCTCCTGGTGTAGGTAGGGAAGAGTTGAGAGAACTGATTTCACCTCTTGCTCGCTGCTGCAAGGGGTGAACTTGCCAGGGCAATGTAGGAGAGCGCACCCTGGTGGTAAGGACAATGGAGAGCTGGCAGGCTGACCAACCCTGCAGCTACCCAGGCCCAGAGCCAGAGTTATGGGTTGGCCCACCCCAATTTCCACCCATTTGTGATCCTGCAGACCCAAAGATGCTGGATCTCCACAGCACAGGGCAGCAGCAGGATAATCAAGAGAAGTTTCAGTGAGGGTCCAGCATTTATACAGCAGCAGAAACCAGAGGCCTCAACCAGACCCATGGCTCTTTGAAAAGAACACTACAAGTAAAGATACAGTATATGGACAAAAGGGTTTACTGTGTGACTCACTACGTCACGCTAAAGTTTCCGTGGTGAGGTTTTTCCACCCTTTTCTTTTTTTCCTTAAATTTTATTGGGGGGGGGCGTTGCAAGGGCAGAGGGCGGATATGCAGGGATGGGAAATGAATGGGATTGAGATGCATGATGTGAAAGACACAAAGAATAAATAAAAAGAAAGTTAAAAAAAACCCAAATTCTCACCTGTGCTTTACCATCTGTTGGTCATGGCAAAAATGACTAAAGAATCTTGCATAGAACAAGTGCATGACAGCGTGCTCCTTCCCTCCGATGTACAGGTCCACAGGCATCCAGAAGTCTGCCAGGGCTGAGCTGAAAGGGCTAGGAGAAAGATAAACAGGCATTTTACAACCTTCTGTGCCACAACCACATACATTAGACCTATTGTAATATGCATATGCCTCGAAAAGAATTACTGTCAGAAAAAAAGTGACTCTCTTATAAGAGAAAAACACATACAAAAGTGAGAAAAGAACCATTGTTGGCTGAGTCCATGAGTCGTTTGCTGACTTCTGCGCATGGTTCATGGCACACGCACATTCACAACACAATAAATAAATGTAATAAAAATGTAATTTTTGAGCTGCTGCTGCTGATGGCGCATATCTTTAATCCCAGTACTCAGAGGTAGAGACAGGTGGATCTCTCAATTCAAAGCCAGTCTGGCCTATAGAGTGAGTTTATGGACAACCAGGGCTATACAGAGAAACCCTGTCTCAAACAACCAAAAACCAAAACCAACCAACCAAACAAACAAAACAAACCAGTAATTTTTGTATAGAACAAGAATAAAAGAAAACAATACCAGCAACAAGGCATCACCACAGGATGTTTATCTGAATGGTGATCTTTAATTTTTATTATGGTTAGACAATAGAAATGTTTAGTTCTCACCAATAGAGGGCAACGGCAGCACTTACAACAAAAACTGGCATGGTAGTAAATGTTCATTTTAAAACAGAAATCCAGTCTGATTTTTAAAGGTACTTTGAAATAGCCAGCAAGAGTTTAAATATGGCTTACTGAAGGAATGAAATTTATAAAGGGCCTTTCATAAAATATCCCAGTAACTCCCTCATCTACTACATCTTGACCAACATGGTTTTACCAAAGGTCAAGCTTCCTCCTACTCCTAAAGTACACAGAGAGGAAAGGACTCTCCAGGTCCCCTATTTGTTGGCTGCTGCCTCGGGAAAGAGTCATCGTGGCTGGGAATAGATCTCTCTGTTGCTTGAAGTCAACTAAGGGAACTTTTGCTTTGGAGGATCTGAAAAGCCTCCAAAATTTCAGAGTTTTCTCCCCAGTGCTGCGAAGAACGTTTCCCCTAGCATGTTCTTGGCTGGCTAGCTCTGAGACCGGAAACAGAACTGCAGGTGGCAGTTAACATCGGTCTCTTTTGCAGTTACTACTGTGACAGCATTCATAAAAGTAAAAATAAGAAAAAAGCAAAACAAAGCCACCCAAATCACCAAACAAACAAACAAATAAACAAATAACCTCCACTTACAATAGTTTCTTAAAGAAACTGAACACTGCTGGACATGGTGGCATAAACCTTTAATCCCAAAACTTGGGAAGCAGAGCAAGGTTGATCTCTGAGTTCAAAATCAACCTGGTCAAGTTCCAGGAAAAACAAAGTTACACAGTGAGGACCTGTCTCAAAAAAAAAAAAAAAAGAGAGAGAGAGAGAGAGAAGGAGAAAGAGGAGGAAGAGGAAAAGGAGGAAGAGAAGGAGGAGGAAAAGGAGGAGGAGGAGAAGGAGGAGGAAAAGGAGGAGGAGGAGAAGGAGGAGGAGGAGGAGGAAGAAGAAGAAGAAGAAAGTAAATAAATAAATTCAACTGCTATTTTAGGCAACAGTAAAGCCAAAGTTGAGGTTGGTATTTACCTCACAAACAAGTTAGGGATGCATGAAGTTAAATGTTCAGTTTATGTTTTACCTAGGAAACCACTCTGGAGGAATCAAGACAATGCCAGGAGAGGTGTGAAGCCCTGTGTGTTCACAGTGCTCAGGACAGCCGGGAAGCAGCCTGAGAAGGGAAAGCCTCCTTCACACCCCCTACGGCTCACAAGGAGCTGCTCTGAAGTTCCCGGTGTCCGTGTGTCTTTCTATTTAGTCAGGACCCCACTCTTTTCTGAAATGAACACAAATGGAACCACAGCTCTGCTGTTCAGAACGTGGCTTGGGCATCTGCCTAATCAAAGATATGCTACTGTGCTGGTAATCCAGAAAAGGGAGTGTTTTCTTTGCCTGTTCTCAACATTAGGTACCATTCTGTAGAACAAGATCCCTTGGACCTACAACCTCTTGCTCCAGCCTCCAGTACTGGAATGACAGACATGCACCACCATGCCCAGAATGGAAACCCTTCACGTGTGGACAATACAGTTCCAGGGTATTTCTGCCATGCTCAAGAGCAACCTATCAAGGTCCGTGAGCAAAGTGTGTTTTCCTGGCTCTGGAATAGTTTTCTTTAGCTTCCATTCCAGCTTTGCTTGGTTACTTGATGCTTTCTTTTCTTTGTTTCTTTCTTGTCAAAGAAACAACAGAGATGAAAAATCAAACAGCACTTGATAGTTTATCATGAAAAACAATGGTCTTAGCCTCGGTTTTCCCTGCACCCCAGGCCTGAACCTTAGCACATATTAACTTTAAGTCAGGGTCTCACTGTGTAGCTCCCAGAGGCCTGGAACTCACTATGTAGACCAGACTGATCTTGAATGCATAGACATCCACCTGTTTCTGTCTCCTAAGTGCTGAGATTAAGACATCTGTGGAATATTCCTTCATACTGTATGAATATATGTTGCTATGATTGGTTTCATAAAGAAGCTGACTGGTCAACAGCTGAACAAGACAAGGTCAGGTGGGAAGGTCAAATTGAAAACGCTGGGAGGAAGAAAGGAGGGATGAGGGGAATAGTCAGCAGACCCAAAGAGAAGCAAGATGGGCATGCCATACTAGAAAAGGTAGCAAGACACTTGATAAAGCACAGATAAGAAATACGGGTTACCATAAATGTAAGAGTTAGCTGGTAGCAGGCCTGAGCTTTGGCGTCTCAGTGTGGTTATTTGGGAGCTGCTGGCAGGACAGAAACTTTGGCTTACAGACATCACCACATCTGGCCAACCTAGTCACTTTTAATTCTACATTCTACTTTTTTTTTTTTTTTTGACATAGGGTCTTGGGCAGCTCAGGCTGGCCCCTGAACTCTTGATTTTCTTGTTTCTGCCTCTTGAATTCTGGTATTATACACATGTGCCAACACTTTGGCTTCCATTTTTACTTTATTTAAAAATGCTTATATTTGTTATTGATTTCTAGTTGGTAAGATTACGAGTCCATAACCAAGCATCCCTACAGTCCCTAAGTGCGGTGTGTTCACATCTTCCTCTGTTAGCTGTCTTTTCGATTTGTATTATAGTTGGGATTTATTAGGTTGAACAATATAAAATGATAATTATTTAACATACTCACTTGAAAAAAGCCTTCTCCTCTGGTGTTAGGGATAGAATCCCAGGCTTTTCCAAACTAGGCGAAAGCTCTGTCCCTGAGCTTCCCCAAGCTAAGAGTCTGGCATGAGATGCACAGCTGACCAATAATATCTACCACTGTGTCTGTGGAACTACTCTGGTCCAGCCTCTGATATCCAGCTACTTCTAAGAGAAGAAAAGAAGGGCATCAGTGGGTACATCTGCCCACCTTGTATTCTGAATGGATATGTGCACTTGGCATTCTTTCCACAGGTCTTCCTGAGGCATCTGGAGCTTTGCTGTGATCCAGGCTCCTCTGAATTCTTCTCTTTCTACTGTCTCTGGGTACCAGATACACATACACACGATGGGTGTTTCCTCTGCCAGCTCAGCTCCTCTCTCTATCCTCCCAGGCATGTCCTTAGCACCTCCCTTGCATATCTAATTCCATCATGGTTTTGCTTCATGGAAGATGCAGTGTTACCTGTCGCACAGCAGGGACATTACCTGTGAGTGTTGTGGGGGTCAGTGTATCTGAAGTAGTACCACGCAGAGTCCACAAAGGTGTCCATGGTGTCTGTCTCTCTCCTGGCTGATCCCTTACACCTGAGAAAGGAAATTTATCAACTGTTTTTTTTTTCTAGAATTCAGTGCAGTTTCCCACCAGTTGTATTTCTGAGGTGTTGGACTTCCAAATATTTCACTTCGAGCTGCATAAGGTTGAGTGAGGTGCTCTTGGAGAACTGGGAGAGGGAGATGGAGTCCCGCATGAGGAACAGAGAAACCTTCCATTCATTAAGTACACAAGAGATTTAGTACTTTAAATTTTCAATTTAAAAATGAAAAGAAGGGGTCCCTCTGGCAGGAGTTGTCAGACAAGTCCTGTGTGCCCCCAGAGAGGGGTGCCCATCTCTACAGTGATTCTCTAAAGTAAAGCCAGGAATCTATTTGAATTGCACCTTATATTTGAGCACAGACACTAGTTTGGGAAGAAGATAAAGGTACCTTCTCTTCTTTGCCCAGCCTGCAGAAGTGCTAAGAAAAACGGAGGCCCACTACCCAGAAACGATCTCATCTGGCTAGCACTCACCATGCTCACTTCCATTAATGTCTCCTTGGGCTTGAAGACAACTGGGTGTTACCACCAATACCAAGCCCTCAATGGTATGGAGGAGGTGCTTGGGCAGATGATGGGCACAATGTCACCAGGTTGGTCTGGGTGCAGTAGAACTAGGTCAAAGGTGTCACAGATACTATCTCATCAGGCTGCCAGAATACCAGGGAATCATGAGACAGAATACCCCAAACCCTACTGTGCAGGAGAGGAGTGAGGTTCCAAAGAAACAGGCCCAAGGTCTTAGAACTCAACAGGAAATATGTAAAGAATCCTCAGCTGCGGGACCCAAGGCTGCTGTCTGTATCTCTGTGCTGTCTGCTCGATTGCATTGGCCTGGTTGCTCACACTTCTGGACGTCACCCAGTTCACTCAGAGAGCGAGGTTAATTCTGAGGCCTGGGCTCTGCCCTCCAGAAATTCTGTGGTCCTGTCAAGAAGCCATATTACCTCACAAGGCTGCAGTGCGGGACTGAATGTGAACACTCCTTCACAAAGGGAAATACAAAAAAGAAATGACTTGATGTTCTGTTTGGTCAGCTGATAACAGCATCATGAAAATCATACTAGAAGCCATTCTACTGGCCTTGGGAAAATTCAATCCCACTTCACAATGAGAAAGGAAAGAAAGCTGATGTATTTCAGTGATGGAAAGAATGCAGGCACTGGGTGTCTTTCCTGTGATCCATGACTGGTGCTCAGACTTCCAAGGCGATCACAGGGTCTGTACTGGGAAACCATAGCAGGAGAGAAAGAGCCTTTCTCGCTTCAAGGAAGTTCTGAGGAATAGAAATGGCGGAGAGTGCAATTATCACGAAAACCTACAGTCTTTCCCTCCACTGGAGCAGTGTTTCAGGGCCCTCTGCAGAGGGTAGGTCAGGTTCTAGAACTACTTTGATATTCCTTTTAGGCAGTAAAGAAGGCAGCATTTAGCACCCAGCAGTTAGCCAGGGTGTTGGCTGTGGCTCCTCACCTGGGGCAGGGGCAGTTCACCCACTCCAACGCTGAGGCCAGTGGGGAGCCTCCTTTGCCAGTGAAAGATGTGATGCTGGGCAAAGTCACAGGCAAGTCTTGCAATGGCACGGGCACGGGGCCACAGGCAGGGCAGTGGACAATGGGGATCGGCGTGCCCCAGTAGCGCTGTCTTGAGATCAGCCAGTCTTTCAGTTTATCACTTGTCACGTCTCCGCCCACCTTCATCCCACGGGCCTTCTGAGTCAGGGCTAGGAAGGCATCCTGCCGGGTCATACCTGTGAACTGGAAGAGAGGAGAGTCAGCTGTTAGAAAATCTATGCCTCTGCTCAGCATCCTGAAACACTGCATCAATATGTGACTATCACAAGGGTCTGGTTCTGTGCAGGGCCACATAGGCACTCCACTGAGCCCTAGATGCATTTATCATTCTATAGGCCCTTTCCTCCTTAAGCTAACATTAAAAATCACATTTTGCAATTGCACTGCTAGAAAAACAAATAAGACTTTTGATCCTGTAAGTTCAAGGTTTTTTGTTTCCAATTAAAAATTTATTTATTATATGGGTATGAGTGGTTTATCCTCATGTATGCCTATACATCACATTTGTGCCTGGTGCCCATGGAGGTTAGAAGAGGGGTACAGATCCCCTGGAACTAGAGTTACAGATGGTTGTGAGCTGCCATCTGGGTGCTGAGTGGACACATGAACCCGGGTCCTGTGGAAGAACAGTATTCTCAACTGTTGAGCCATTTCTCCAGCTCTACTTTCAAAATTCTGAAGATTTTCCAGTAGCCTTGAGAAGCAACGTGGCCATGGGCACTATGCCCACTGTGTGTGGTGGGCAGCTGGTCCAGGTCTGTGGCCCTCCCTTTCTGCCATGCCCTGTAATACCTGAAGAATTACTGCCAGTGTCTAACTACCAGTGAAGAGCTGTACAATATGCATTTTTAACGACTCTTTCCTAAGAGGAAAATATTCAGAGAAGAAAAATTCAGTGTCATATCTTATGGCAAGCAGGGGCCACACCTGCCTCAGCCTGAAGAGGCAAATCATCCTCTGTATTTAATACTCCGATTTCACAGACAACAGGGCTGAACATCACTACTTCAAAGGCAGAGGCCTCTCTTCACTGGTACTCTCCAGAGGCCGAACTAATTGGATGAAGTGAGCCATAAGACTGGCTGACATTCAGAACGTGGGCACCTGGGATCAGTCCTGTCGTATGCCAGACCTCAGAGGACAAAGATCAATATAATCTGCTCATGATCTCAAGGAGCTCACAATCACAGACACGTCATAATAAGAGCACTCAGCCATGCTTACCAAAGTAACCCCTCTTACCACTGAGGTGAAGAGTTTTCTCCAAGAGTTTATTGTAAAGTGGTGGCTATGGTTTGGGGGGAAGAGATTCCCTAGTCTGTGCTACTGACATCATGTGGCTGTGATACAAAGCTCTCCTCAAAGTTTGTCTTCTCGAGTACCGCTGTCCTCTGCTCCAGAAGCTCATGATGGAAAACACTTTTCCTCCACCCCTCATTGACAGAATTTGGCTGAGTATTCAGCAAAGAGTCAGGAGGAGACGACTCAAAGACTATCTGTAGCTATCTGAAAGCAGACAAAGGGGCTAACTAAAGTATGGAGTCCCATCCAGAGACATAGAGGGGGGTTTCCTCTGGGCACAGAGAGACAGCCTCATTCTAGCCATGGATATCCCCTTCTTCACGTCCCAGAGCTAGAGCTCCCTTGCAGACACACAGGCTTGGCTCTGCCATACCTCCAACAGGCTACACAAATGAGAGCCAAGAAAAAAGGCATCAATATCTTAGAATATGATTTATGTTTGGAGATACAAACATGAAGTCAAGCAATGTCTCTCTTTTTAAAGGGGAAGGCTGGTCATTATTCTCTCTCTGTAGTAGTCTGGATGTAACTGGTAACTGGCCCCCATAAGCTCATAGGGAGTGGCACTATTGGGAGGTGTGGCCTTGTTGAAGGAAGTGCGTCACTGTGGGGCTTTGAGGTCTCCTTTGCTTAAGCTTCTCTCAGTGTCACAGTCCACTTCCTGTTGCCTTCTGATCAAGATGCAATCAACGCCATGGCTGCCTGCAGGTCGCCATGGTCCCTGCCATGATAATAATGGACTGAACTTCTGAAACTGTAAGTCACCACCTCAATTAAGTGTTTTCCTTTACAAGAGTTGTGATGGTCATGGTGTCTCTTCACAGCAAGAAAAACCCTAAGACAGACAGGCAGATAGAAACAGAAAGGAAGACAGAAAGACAGGACACCCTTATAGCTAAGTGGTCCCTTATAGCTACTTGGTCCTTCAGATATAATAGGACCAGAACCAGGGAGACCAGTAGGCGCTTCTCCAATGACTCAACCATGCTGAGGCACCAGTTCCCAGGTTAGGGCTCGTGTTTAAATCTCCTGGGAACTGTGACTACTCCTGATGTCTATTACTTATGTCCTCACTACCATTGATCATTAGGTTGAAATATCTGGGTGGAGACTCAATCATCAGATTGTTATTTGTTTTGTTTCTTGAGACAGGGTCTCACATAGCCCAGGTTGGTCTCAAACTCTATGTAGCCAGGATAACCTTGAAATCCTGACCTTCCTGCCTCACTTCCCAAACGTCAGGATTATAGGTGTGCACCACCACACTCTTCTTCCAAGCACCAATATCTGAAAACACTTTCCTGGTATTTCCACTGTGTACTCAAGTTTAAAAATAAACACTCTAAGCCAGTGCCCTCAAGTTTTAATGTGCATACAAATACTTCAGGGGTCTTGTGTGACTAGGGTAAGGTTGACAGTCCACATTCCTAACATGGATGCCACGCTGATCTAGGGACCAGACTTTGAGCAGCAAGGCTCTAAGCCAGTGACTCTCAACAATGGTTCCTGGACCAGCAGCACCAGTATCACCACTACCAGCACCAGCATCACTACTATCAGCACCATCTGCACCACTACCAGCACCAGCACCACAACCAGCAGTACCACCAGCACCAGCACCATGCAAACTCTTGGGAAGACAGATCTCTGGATATGTATTGCTAGTCAGTGTTTTAACAGGGCCAGCATGATGCTGATAGATATGCAAGTGTGAGACTCACCTAAGCCACTTCCCACTTTAGCCTCCCACCCCAAAACTGCCTCTTCCACCACACTCTTCCGGTTCAGTTCAGCACAGGTGGGGCTCACATCCTGCCATTCGTACCAAATCAAACAGGAGATAACCTTGACTGTGCCAACACAACTCTGAGCGTCTGTTCCTTTCTGTAAGTGAGATAAACCTTCTGTGGAAAGAGCAGATAATCTGGAGCGAGCCATCATCCTCTCCAGGGAGAAGAGTCAGCACCAGTCACCTCTTCAAGAAGCCAAAACTTCTCTGCAAAGATCATTCCCAAGCAAGATTCTCAGAATCAGCTGTTCTAGTGTTGGGCTGGATTTCAAGCTAAGAAACTTCTAGGTGTTGAAGAACAGTCTTTTTTCCTGGGAAACCAAGCCGGGCTGCAAGGCTGCAAGGCTGCTGGGGTAAGAGATAGTGAAAGGGCAGCCTCGATGTGACGCTGAGAGCATGGCTTCACACCAATCTCAGGGTCTTGATTCACAAGTGAGTTCTCGGCACAGGTCGGGGGCACCAACCTCAGCAGATCCACTCAGTCTCTCCGTGCCATCTGGTGATGTTTCAATGACTTTAGAGTAGGGCAGGCCCAGGGCTTGGGCTATCCTGGTGTCCTCTGAGCTGGTGCTGGGGATTCCTGTGCAGAGGGAAAAACACAAAACATCATCTTCTCTTAAGCACTCAAAGCAAAGAATCAGGCAAGACTGACGCATGGTGTTAGCTCCCTGGAAGGAAGCCAGGAAGCCCCACCACACAGGGTACCGAGACACAGTGTTAGGGAGTTTGACACCCTAGCACAGATGTTCACCTTTTAGGTCTTTGTCTCTGTCTTCTCCCTCTCTCTCTCTCTCTCTCTCTCTCTCTCTCTCTCTCTCGTTCTTTCTTATTTATTCTTAAAAACATAGTTGCAAGCATAAAAATCTACCATACATGCTACTGAAACTTTTCATTATAGGTGTGAGGGGAGCCTCTTGAAACTTCTCAGTGGCTTCCTGGTGAGAAGCTGTGCTGACTTCCTCAGCATTTAATACCCTAAAAAGAACCGTCAAGTCTGGACCCTGGAAGCCAGCAGAACATTCTGAACAGGCATTTACTCTTGAGGAAATGAGGTGGAGCACAAGAAACCCACTCAACCAGAGGGGAAAACCTGCTATCCTGACTTCAGCTGTGCACAGAAACAGGTTTGGTGGCTGGTTCTGTAGGACAGGCTCTGAATGTGGTACTTCTGATATGGGGTCTGAGCACAGAAGGACAGGGAACATTCTACACATCCTGGCTCTTTCCTGTACCACTTCCTCAGCAGGGGCAAAAAGAATATCTCCCAAATTTGCCAAACGTCTCCTGGTGTTGAGGGTCATAGAAAATGCTGACATGCACATGGACATGACCCACTAGTGAAGGGTCCCACCAGAGGAATGGCTTAAGGTCCAGAGGACACGTCTGAAGTTCTATAGTACGGTGCAAAGCTGTGCTGTTTCCAGCTGAGTTGTGACACCAAGCACAATGCCGAGGGAACGAGTGCCGGTGGACGGAGGGGTGAGGATGCGGGGCAACAGCAAACAGTACCAACAAGTGCTTACAGTCACAGGGGAAATGATGTCATTTACCAGGTTTTCAATGTCCAGCTTAGGGTGACTCAGTGACTGTCCAAAGGAGACACTGTGACCACATTTATCTAGTCACATAAAGAGTACTTTCTAGGCTGGGCGGTGGTGGCGCACGCCTTTAATCCCAGCACTTAGGAGGCAGAGGCAGGTGGATCTCTGTGAGTTCTAGTCTATAAAGTGAGTTCCAGGACAGCCAGAACTGTTACACGGACAAATTCTGTCTTGAAAAACAAAAAACAAGAGTACTCTAAAATATGATATATTCTAAATGATAAATTCTGCTTTATTTCTTGTTTCTGTTTTGTCCTTAGAAGACAAAAAACCAATACTTTAGAAACTTCTAATTACATAACTGAGGGAAATCAAAACATCAGAAAAAAACAATTCCCCATGCTCACCTCAAAACATCCAAAACCTTAGAACTTTAATACTGCATCAGTGATTTAGCTCAAAATGTCAAACGCCCCTTGTCTGCCCAAACAGCCATATCAAGATTTTCTTCACTGTAGGTGGCTGTTTCAAACATCTCACTAATTATATAATGCATGGTTATGATGGTCAGAAGTGACCGGAGAGCTCTGACACCTCTTCATCAAAAGTGACCTGAGGTCATTGCAATATGAAATGTTGTTTGCGGGAAACATGGGAAATGCGGTCTAGCACCACAAAGGCCGCTGCTCTGCCGCATGGCTGTGACAGGAAAGAGGTACACTGGAGGATTCTGGACTCAGGGAGGAGGATGCCTCTGACTGTGACACTGGAGACGACTTCACGGCTCCTTCCTGAGCAGCTCAGATCAGTCTCCTCCACAGTGCCAAAACCTGGCCCACATGGATCCGATGCTCGTGGAACTCCCATCTCTGCACTTGCTGGCAGTTTTGTGAATTTTATTTTATTTGATTTGGTTTTGTGAGACAGAACCTTACTATATAGCCTAGTCTGACCTCAAACTCAAGATCCTCCTGCCTCAGGTTCCTCAGTGCTGGGACTGAGTCACTAAACCTGGTGTGGATTTTGAAATTAGATTTTTAGTCTGTGTTGTAATTATCTCCCATATCAGGTGTCCAAGTATTCAAAATTAACTCACAGCCCATGAGCCTGGGCTTTTTAAATACTCAACAGCAACCAGGAAGGCATGATATACTCAATACGCTTTATTTAAAAAATTAAAAATGTATTTATTTATTATTATTAGTGTGTGTATATGTACATGCGCAGGCACATGTGGAGATTTGGAAGACAACTTTGCTAATCAGATTTCGGTAGCTTTACTCAGGTTGACAGGCTTGAGTGACGAGCACTTTTACACACTGAGCTGTCTTACTGTCCCTCCACTGTGCTTTCAAATACTCAGGGCTTCTTAATTGTTGTCTGTATACTTACTCTTGATTTTTAAGGATGTGTTTTACCATGCTGTATGAGCTTTAAACTTGTGATTTAAGACTGGAGAGACAAGTCAGCAGTTAAAATAATTTGTTTATATAGAGGACCTGGGTTCAGTTCCCAGCACCTACTCACAACCATTTGTAACTCCAGTTCCATGAGTTCTGACTTCTTTTTCTGATTTCAAAGGCACAAGGCACATACATGGTACACACACATGAATGCAGGCAAAACACTCATATACATAAAATACGTTAAAAAAAAAACCCTTAAACTGTGATTGCCCCACCTCAGGCTTCTGAATGCTAGGAACTTAGGTGTGCACTTCCATGCTCCTGAATATGTAGTTCTTAGCTAAATAATGATTACATGGAAGGTAAGTGACTGGGGCTGCAGCTCGTGGTAGATTGCTTTGCTAACAATGTGTGAAGCCCTAGATTTGATCCTCAGCTCCAAAGAGAATGAGAAAAAAGGAACACAAAGTTTCACTAAGAGGCAAAAAAAACACAGAATCAATGATAAACCTGAAGTGACAGCAAGAACAGTGAACCTTTTGCCCTTAAACCGGTATAATTTATTAGCACGGATGACATGTAAACAGTCACCTACCTATTTTTGAATCTAGAGAACCTTCTAAGTCAGCCTTGGCCATGATAACGATGGGGACCTCCTGCCGGGTGAGCATGTTCACAGCCATCACTGGTGTGAGGCAATCTGTAAACAAGAGCAGATCTATCAGACAGACACATCCCAGAGTAGACAAGTGAGAAAAAGCAGCACAATATCTTCCATGCTGCGTGCTAATTGCTAAAGAGCCAGTCCTTTGAAGGGTATTAGCAGATAATTTACACCAGAGGACATCAGAAGATCAAACAAGCACGAGAGAAAAGTTTTGTCCTCCCACACGCACAAGGGAAAAGAAAGGTGTTTCAGGGTTCCAGATGGAAAGCCATCTCATTACCACCTTTTACTTCTCAAAATTATCTCCAACAGTGAGAATAATAAAACACACAAAACCTTCCTGGAATGAAAGAGGAGACAGGAACTTCTAAAGCAAATGGATGATGATGTGGCTAGCAAGCATAAAACAGCAGAGCAGAAAGTGAAAAGAGATTTCCAGACATCCACAGACAGAACAGTTCCTCTCCACGCACCCTTTTCTTAGGAGATCCTGGAATATTGTGTTCTTGCGAGACGAAAGGCTAAATGGAGAAAGAAACAAGTGTAGGACCCAGGAAACAAGGACCAGCGAGGAAAAACCACAAGAACACTCAAGAAGGAAGTCAGAGGGAACTTTAGAGACATACAGCTGAGGCCTGGAGGGTGACCAAGTCAGATCTGAACCAAACAAAGTCCAGAGTATCTTCGGGAAAATGAAAGAACTGATAAGATTGTCTGGAAGGCTGGAGTCGGAGAAAACGCTATTGAGAGTTTTAAAGAGCTGATAGAGTGTGGAAAGATTCTGCCAGAAATTCAAAGAATACAAAGCAAACGAAAAAAAGGGAGAGACACATAGAGAAAGAGACTGTGAATTTTAGAAAAAAAAATAATAAAAAGTTATATAAGAATGAGACAGTAAGACTGGGCCTGGTAGTGCATGTCCATAATTCCAGTCCTCCGGAAGCTGCAGCAGGGTGGTAAGTTTGAGGGTATCCTGAGCTACATAGTGACTTCTAGACTAGCCTGGGATACACAGAAAGAGCCTGTCTCAAAAATAAACAATTAAACAGAACAAAGTAATCACAGTTTATATGATCCAGTTACCAATATTTATGAAACAAATGACTTACAATTTACTCAATCATCGGGCTATCTTGAATGAACAGTAGCAGGGAAAGAGCCATACATGTTGACATCCTCAACGAGTGTATGGACTAAAAGCATAAATACCCAAAGTCCAGAGGAAAGAGGCACAAGAACAGTAACTGAAAAATGATTAATTTACTTGTGTTTAAAATCAGACTTCAAAAGGGGGACAGAACAACAGACACAGAGGAAATACAGGGAAACATCAGGTCATATTTCAAAAACCTGTACTCCACAAAATTGGAAAACTTAAAGGAAATGGACAATTTCCTGGATAAATATCACTTACCAAAATTAAATCAAGGCCAGATAAGCAAATTAAACAGACCTATAACTCCTGAAGAAATAAAAACAGTCATAAAAAGTCTCCCAACCAAAAAAAGCCCAGGACCAGATGGTTTCAGCTCAGAATTCTACAAGATTTTCAAAGAACTAATACCAATACTCCTCAAATTATTCCACATAATAGAAACAGAACAGAAATAGGAACACTACCAAACTCTTTTTACGAGGCTACAATTACCCTGATACCCAAACCACAGAAAGTGAATTACAGATCAATCTCACTCATGAACATTGATGCGAAAATACTAAATAAAATACTGGCAAATGGAATCCAAGAACACATCAGAACCATCATCCACCATGATCAAGTCGGCTTCATCCCAGAGATGCAGGGATGACATACAAAAGTCTGTCAATGTAATCCTCCATATAAACAAACTGAAAAATAAAAACCACATGATCATCTCATTAGATGCTGAAAAAGCTTTCAACAAAATACAACATCCCTTCATGATAAAGGTCTTAGAGAGAGCAGGGATACAAGGAACATACCTAAACATAATAAAGGCAATATACAGCAAGCCATCAGCCAACATCAAATAAAATGGAGAGAAACTCCCAGCGATCCCACTAAAATCAGTGTTGTCCACTCTCTCCATATCTATTCAATATAGTTCTTGAGGTCCCAGCTAGAGCAATAAGACACTAGAAGGAGATCAAGGGGATACAAATCAGAAAAGAAGAAGTCAGACTCTCACTATTTGCTGATGATATGATAGTTTACATAAGCAACCACAAAAATTCTACCAAGGAACTTCTACAACTCATAAACACTTTCAGTAATGTAGCAGGATACAAGATTAACTCAAAAAAATCAGTAGCCCTCCTGTACACAGATGATAAAAGGGCTGGGAAAGAAATCAGAGAAACATCACCCTTCACAACAGCCACAAATAGCATAAAATATATCAGAGTAACTCTAACCAAACAAGTGGAAGACTTGTATGGCAAGAACTTTAAATCTTTGAAGAAAGAAATTGGAGAAGACACCAGAAAATGGAAAGATCTCCCACGCTCTTGGGTATGTAGAATTCACATAGTAAAAGTGGCAATTTTACCAAAAGCAATCTACAGATTCAATGCAATGCCTATCAAAATCCCAGCAAAATTCTTCACAGTCCTCAAAAGAACGGTACTCAACTTCATATGGAAAAGCAAAAAACCCAGGATAGCCAAAACAATCCTGTACAATAAAAGAATTTCTGGAGGTATCACAATCCCTGACATCAAACTCTACTACAGAGCCATATTACTGAAAACAGTCTGGTGTTGGCATAAAAACAGACGGGAGGACCAATGGAACCAAATCCAAGACTAGGATATCAATCCACACACCTTTGAACACCTGATCTTTGACAAAGAAGCAAAAACTATCAAACGAAAAAAAGAAAGCATATTTAACAAATGGTGCTGCCATAACTGGATGTCAACATGTAGAAGAATGAAAATAGACCCATATTATCACTATAAACAAAACTAAGGTCCAAATGGATCAAAGACCTCAACATAAAGCCAGCCACACTAAACCATGTAGAAGAGAAAGTGGGAAGTGCACTTGAACACATTGGCACAGGAGACCACTTCCTAAATAGAACCCCAGCAGCACAGACGCTGAGAGAAACAATTAATAAACTGAAAGCTTCTGTAAAGCAAAGGACACAGTCAACAAGACAAAACAACAGCCTACAGAATGGGAAAAGATTTTCGCTAACCCCACATTAGATAGAAGTCTGATCTCCAAAATATACAAAGAACTCAAGAAACTGGTCATCAAAAGAACAAATAATCCAAAAAAAAAAAATGGAATACAGACTTAAACAGAGGAATCTAAAATGACTGAAAGACACTTAAGGAAATGTTCAACATCCTTAGTCATCAGAGAAATGCAAATCAAAACAACTCTGAGATTCCATCTCACACCTGTAAGAACGGCCAAAACGCATGCAAAGAACTTATAGGCATCTGAGCTCTGTTTCCACCATGAACTGAAGTCTTTGGGCTTGATGATGCTCAGCACCTTCATACACCAAGTCATCTTTCCAGACCTTTTTCAGCACAGTTTTATTTGCTGGAGGAATTGAAAAAAAAAAAAAATTGGGAGCTGATTCTCTCCCTATCAGAAGAAAGCTTTAAACTAATACTGAATCAGAAGGTAAAGAGCTGAGCCTCTCTGGGCAAGCTCTGGATGCAGAGAGGCTGGGACTGAGGAAACGCAGGACAGACAACTTAATGTTGCCAGAGCTGTTTTATCCTCAGGTTTTGAGATAAAAAAACTAAAAATTACAGCTAAGGTGAAGAACAGGAAAAATGGCAAACACGGGGGGTATATGGGTCCTGTGGACAGCGACCCAGCTGAAGGAGGAGACTCCAGAAGCCTGTGCTTCATCACATAGCTCACCTCTGCCAGAGACTAGTGCCTTTTGCAAGGCTTCCTTCAGAGAACTGCAGCCATGTAGAAGCCTGTGGTTAGGAGAAATGGCCACGTGGGAAAGGCCATAAATGGCCTCAGGGGTGGCTGTATATGCTGTCAGTTTCTCTCCTGTGTCTTGTCCATCAACCTGGCGGGATGAAACATGACATTTCATTTTCAGTCCTCCTCCTGAGCTATGTGGCTCCCCATTCCACCCCTTTCCTCATTGCCAAACAGCCACAGCAGCTTCTGACCCCAGGACCAGGAATGTGTACAAGGAGGGGCCAGGCAGGAGAAAAGAAGGGGGTTGCCTTATCAGTCCCCCTCTGCACTCAGCACCAGGCATCCCAAGATGAAGGTAGGGAAAGCTGGCTTAGGAAGATACCCTCCCGGTTCTCTTTGTGCTGGGCAGTGCTATGGCCAGGTGTGGTGCTGCTGTGCATTCAAAGGGATCCAAAGTGCAAGACAGATCTATGGACATGCACACTGGGGTGCCAGGGTGCTGTCACCTTTAATGTGAAGTCTAGATGGCAGCCTACACAGTCCCCAATCCAGTGGGCCTGCATGCCTTTTATTCCGTACCACTCTGGGAGGTCTGCCAAGGCATCCTGCATGGCCTGCGGAAATAAACAAAGATCAGAAAAGCAGCAGTGCAAATCTCATGTGAGAACAAGTGGTGTGGGGCTTGAGGTGGGAAAGGTGGAGACGCGGAAGAAGGTTCTGGACATCAGGCTCCCTCATTCTCGTGCCTCAGTAGGGGTAGCAAAAGACAACAGAGGCGCTCAATTCTCAAACCATCTGATCGGCCTGACCTATCTCTGTCCAAGATTCAAGGTTTCATGGAAGAAAGAAAGCTGAAATGGACAAAGACCCCAATTCACATCATTGCTGAATGTGTTCACAGCATTCTCTCCCTCAGTCTGCAGGGGTCAAAAGGAGTTCACAATCTGCAAATGAGCTCCACAGCTCTCCCCATAGGAGTTCCAAACTGCACAGAATATTCCAGTTGGCTGCTGCCAATTCCCACGGAATTTTGTTATCATCCTCCCCAGCAACACTGGCCACACCAGCAGAACCTCACCCTGTGGTTATTTCCTCCTCCTCTCCCTCCTCTCCCTTCTCCTCCTGTTCCTTCTCTACTTCTTCTACTTCTCTTTGTTTGTTTGTTTGTTTGTTGTTTGTTTGGATACAGGGTCTTAGCTCAGGCTGACTCTGAATTTACAACCTCCCTGCCTCCTCCTCCAGAGTGTTGAGGTGACATGTTTAGCAGCCAGTGGTTTTGTTTTGTTTTCTTCCCAGATTGCATGTCAAAGGTAGGAAAACTGGTGGAGGTGCCTTAGCCTTAAAATATTCAGATGGAAATGAGGCCCAAACATGCAAACAGGAAGAAATGTGAGTGTTTTCACATGCTAGTTCTGGAAAGATGCTGGCCTAAAATCTAATCAAATCTATGAATATTTTTACAAAGTGATTTTTTTTTCAATTGACCAAAGGAAACCAATATCTTGAAGCATCAAACAAGCTCTTTTCAGTTCCCTGTATAATAAATGCATTTACTCAAGGCTAACTTTGGATAAGCAGGTCTTCAGGGAAGGCCTCACCAACAGCGTAGCCTAAGACAGAACAATGTTCACTCAGCTCTTCCTTGCCACAGCGGTCCATCCTCCTTCTGTGGGGGCAGTCCTGGTCTCATCTCACTTCCCTACCCTTGGCAAGCAGTTCGCCTTCCCGCCCCATAAACCACCAGTATAGAAATTCAGTTGGCTCACAGAATCCAAAAATCTGGAGAAACGCCAGGTTTTTAGACCTTTTTAAAAGTGCTATGAAATCCTAGGGAGTCGGGCTTGGTGGAACATACTTATAATCCTGGCCCTTAGAAGGTTGAGGCAGGGTGATCTAGAGTTCAAAGCCAGCAAGCAACCCTGTGCATAGACACACACAAATAAAGAGTCCATAAACAAACAAAAACCAAAGCTCTCACCTCCCAAGGGAGAAGAGATGGCTTATTCTGGAGTCAGATATTTGTGACTATGGCTCAAAAACACAGATTTAGGATACACCAAGTTCCATCTGCCACTATGGTAAAACTTTGACGAAGCTTTTGTAATAACAGAACAAAGAAAGCCATAAGCCAGGGCACTTTTTAAAGCGATTGGTGGGAGCAGGAAGTGGGCAGCTACAGCAAGGAAAGGAAACCTCAATTTCAGGCTGCAGATTCTCTTTGTCAGCATTCTTATCCCTTTGATTGGTTGGAAACTGAGGGTCTGTTTATACATTCCAAAGAAAAACGAGAGTTCTGCTTATACATTGTCAAGGATTTGCCTAATGGTCACAAAGATGTCGGGTCAAGTACAGAGGGGGCAACAAATGGCTACTAAGAGGGCTAAAGCTGACCCAAGAAAATGTGGACTGGATTTGCAATGTTTTAACCTCTCTATGTGTCTAAAGTTTGTAGAAGACTGTGGAATGACAGTCCTTTTCAGCACCTTTCATTCACAAAAGTAAATCTGAGGAAGCTGGTATGTCATGAGATGGAAGAAGGTATCTCCCTGTGCCCTGTTTAATAGTCTTTTGGGCAGGGCACAGTTTGGAATTAAACGATAGTTCATTTAATAAGGGCAGTTAGCTAAAACTGCCAATGGGAATGAGACATCTAACACAACCGAACCCTGTGTCTCCTGCATGGACAACGTCATTCATCCTCCTCCCCTCCCACAAGCTGCCCATGAGACACCACCCACACTGCTCTGCAAACCTCGCTTGCACCTTCTCCCCCCTGACTCTCTGTCAGTCATTGGCTGAGATCATGCTTACAACTCACAGTGAACAACTCTGAAGGGCTGGGCAGGGGTGAAAGGAAGAAATATAACACACTGCACAACAGCCTTTAACAAAATGCTTTTCTGTTTCAGTTCCCTTTAGACTCTGACCTCATGGGCAGCCTTGGGGCAAACACAGAGCTCTGAAGATCCCTGGGCAGACAGCACTCAGGCCAAGCCAGCACCCACTGCTCATTCCTCCTCCACCTGGGCAGCAGAAGCTGAAAAGTTCACATCCACTCAGCTCTCTCCCTTAATGCTGGGGGTGGCCATGTAACACAAAACATGAATGGAATTCTACTGGGGGGGGGCCAGTTCTAGAAAGTTCTTGCTTTCCAGATAGAAGGGCTTGTCTGCACTGCTCCTGATGCTTCTGTCTTGAGGGACCTGGAGGAGCAGCAGTCACTATCTGGCAGCCACAAGATGACAAGCAGGACGAAGAGGCCGAGAGAAGCACTGGGATGCCCAGCCGGAGGCCTTGGAACAGGCTGGTCTCAGCACTGGTTCTCATTGTGTGGAGAAAGTACTTGTCAAATCCCCACAACCTGGGTCTTCAGTAGCTTGCAGCTGCAAGCATTCTCAGTTGACCCATGTCACTAATTCATGACAATTTCTATCATACCAGGTTTTCAAAAATCCTGTTTCACTTGATCTTTAAGAATCTGGACCAAACTTTTCAAGTTCCTATTATTTTCCCCTCTTCACCCAAGGATGTCTGATGCCCATCTCAGACTCAAAGGACTATCTCTACCCAAGAGAGTGGGCTAACCCTGGACCTCCCATCAAGTCAGGTCTTCCTAGATGTTACCACTACCTGCACCCTCTCATCCAATAGATCACCAAGCTCAGGGGATTCTTCCTCTAACTACTTTTCCAATCCCTTTCTACTTCTCCTTCCTAACTCTAGAGTGCATGGTGAGACCATCACAAAAGCATTTAGGCTAGTGCCTGCAGTCACAACTATCCATCCCATAATGTTCTTATGAAAACAAAATTCTGGGGACTAGTGAGATGGTTGAGATGGTTCCACAGTTAGCAGTCTTTCTGCTCCTGAGAAGGCCTGAGTTCAGCTTCTAGCACCAACTCTGGGTGGCTCACAACCATCTGGAACACCAGTTCCATGAGATCTCGAACTTCTGGCCTCCACAAGGCACTTGTACTCACATGCACATACCCACACATGCCTATAATTTTAAAATTATATAAATCTTAAAAAAAAGAACTACCCTATGTTTCTGACATCACTCCCTTTACACTATTTCATCATTTCATGCAGTTCCTGTGCTGAAGTCACAATGTGTCACTTGATCCTGCCCCTAATCACCTCTCCAATCCTACTTTGAGCCTTCCCACATGGCTCTCAAGTTTAACTTGAAGCGTTCATCTCTTTGCTTTTCAACCCCCAGCACACACCTATCTGCTAGGGCCACTCAATATGGATTCCCTGTACAGGCTGGGGCTGTCGTGAGGGAGTGTTTTCACAACATAAAGCTGGCTTTATGGTCTATCCCACTCTTGCTTGTCTTTCTGCAGCCCAAACACTGAAACTTTCCCGTCTGATATACTCTTCTGGTCCAGATTTCCAGTTGGTTCATTGTTATAGGTGTTTTCTGCTCTCCTGAAATTCACCATGATCATCTTTTCTTTTTAAGTCCTGTTCATTTATATAACAAATGCCTTGGTATTATTAGCTAACTTCAACCCCTTGGTCTATGTCTAAACTTTTTTTTTAATTAAGGTTCACAGTTTCCTGCAAAAGACAGTATTTTTTATTGCATGCTGGGTCCTGCAGATGATGCCCTACAGGGGTACTGGATCATACTTGACCCCCTTTAGATCTATTTTGTTCTAGAAGCTCTATTTGAGTCTCTCAGAGGCTTACTTTTAATCTTCGGTAAGGTCATTATATTCTGTTTTTGTCCTCAGTCCTAGGGTGTTATCCATGCTTCCAATCACAGTCTTTGGAGATTCAAAGCCTCTTTTAGCCAGGCAGAATCCAGGGTTTCTATGTGCCACACAGCCCTGGGTCTGCTTCGCTCTCCCACCATATGCCAGCATCATGGACTCTCCCTCTTCTCCCAATTTTCAGTGTTGATCTCCTAAGAGCTTTTTCAATAAATCTGCACAGGAGTTCAGCAAGAACCAAGAGTTACCATGGCAACTCAGCATTTCTGCTGAGCAGCTGACAATTCCCAGCTGACAGTTTAAAGAAGAATGCCTCTGGTGCCAGTTATTACATTTACAACTCAAAGCAGAGGCCAAGGCACAGGCGCTAACCAGGTGCCCTTCCAATACTGCCATTAGAGGGGCTGGCACCCCTCCTTTCCAATGCACTACCTGGAGGCTTGGGGGAATAACCCCGTCTCAGGAACATGGCGGATCTGAGGCCAGCGGAGAGGACCTACACAGAAAGCTACACTCTCAGCTTTGCTTTCTGCTAGGCACTGACTAATAAGCTCTTTTGAACTTTTTCCAGATCCATGCCCAGGTCAGCTGTATAAAAATGAACTGCAATGACCTCATTGCAGTCTCTGGAGGGAGGACAGCGAGGGTCTGCTGAGCTGGTGGGGCGTGGTTTGGGTTTGGCCCAGAATGTGGTAATCAGACACTGCCTAGAACTCTGTGCTTTCTCTGTACGTGAGCCCTGCACACAATATCTGACCTGACTTATCTGCAGATGAGAACCAGACTTTGTCCAGGCATGCCATGGGCTGCCTTTGAGACTTAACTCAAAATAGAAGCACTGGGTATTACACACATACAGAACCTAGAGAACTCATGACTTCGCCCAGGCCATTATGGCTCAGTAACCAACTCTGCTTCTACTACTGGCTTTGTCTTGAATTCTGAATACAGAAACCAGTCAGAAGGTGCTTGAACCATCATCATCGGCCTAATCACTCATCTTACTCATCAGGAAGCTGAGGCCCAGGGCAGCTTTCACAGTTATCAGAGGCACAGAAAAGTCACATCTGGAGCTCTGGACTTGAGCCAGCTCACTCCTATCCTGGCCTTCTCTGCTAGAGACCAGTCAACTCTTCACTCTAGGTCACTATAAGTGCTGGTACAGAGAAACTAGAACTCAACCCCTCCTGAGCTTCACAATAACTTTTCCTTTCTTGGATCCATAATTACAGATAGAGTTACTGTTGCTTTCTGAAAGCTCAGCAAACAATGACCTGGAAAGACCTCCAGGTGCCTTTATTGTTAAAGCTTCCCCTTGCCCACCACCCTGTACCATGAACAACACTGAGGCGCTCTGCTTCCCAGGCTCCTTCAGCAGAGCCACCAGTGTGGTCTGCCTACACACTGGGCGCTACTGAAAGTCTCTTACATCACTTACCTTTGCATATGCAGTTGTCTTAATGAACCACTGTCGGAGATATTTCTTCTCCACCTTGGCTCCAGAACGCCATGAACAGCCATATTCATTCACTTGCTCATTGGCCAGCACTGTTTGATCCACTGGATCCCAGTTAACCAAGGCCTGTTAGGATGCAAGAGACGGGGTACACCGTGGTGAATGTCCTGTGGAGGGGCCCTTGGAGAACAGTGTGGCTCCAAGCCTGAAGGCATCTTTAGGGTGGACTGCCTGGCCAATGGGCCACTAGTAAGCTGTGACAAGGACATACGGACTGCCCTTGTTAGAGCAGACTAGGGGAAGATGGAAGCCTTTAGGAACATGTCTAAACTGACCCTAGGTTTTTCTTGAATGACAGGATGAACATTCAGGATTTGAAATTTTAGGACACTTTCGAAAAGAAGGAAAAAATGGTATCTATTTAAAGTTTAGAAAAATAGGGCTACTGCAGAAAAAATAAATATACTGTTTTTTAATAACACTTGACTTTTACTGAATGATAACCAGGTGTGGTTTCCATGCTAAGTGGATTACAGCTAAGTGGTGAGCTTGACAGCAGAGATACTCCTGCCTTAGTCTTCCAGAAGCTGGGGCTACAGTTGTGGCCGTCACACTCAGCTTACGTGTGCCCTTTTCATTCTTGCAGTCAGCTTTGTGGTGTGGTGAGAAGACTCACCCTCAGAGAATCATGTCACAGAGAATGAATACGAGGAGCAGAGAAGCAATAAAACACACCTAAGGTCTCAGAGACACTGGCAGACGGGGAGGAAGTTAGGTATCCTTTCACCAGCGCTAGGAACTTTCCAGGCCTTCAAGACTGTGCTACATCACACATCAGCATAGAAATCAGGGTGGGGAGAGGTCAGCTAATTCATTGAGCTATAATCTGGGTTGTGATTCTATAACTGCAAGTAATATAGTCACCAAAAACTTGAAACTATGCCATCTGGAATCAGATGGGAAGAGGAGCATGGGACAGTTTATTTCCTCTAACATAGGGTCCCTAAGGTCTTCCCCTCTTAAGTACATAGAGATGACCAGGATATTAAGTATCTAGGACCTAAAACTTTCAGGTTCATAAACCAAAGAAAGTTGGCCCATCTATTATTCCCACTAATACCAGGGAGATGCAGGAAGGGTTTTACTTAGTAGGTAACAGGAAATCCTGTTTTATTTTGGCCATGCTAGGATTATTGCAGAGGAGCCTATGAACCTGAGGCGCACGCGTCTTAGGACAGATCTCACTGGGTAGCTCTGGCTGTCCTGGAACTCACTCTGTAGACCAGGCAGGTCTCATACTTACCAAGATCCACCTGTCTCTGCCTCTTAAGTGCTAGGATTAAAGGTGTGGGCCACCACACCTGGCTAAAAGTGATGATTCTAAGATAGAGAAAATTTATAAAGTTTTAAAAGGGTAGCTAACATGAATGTACCTCTTTTTGATAGGCCAGTCCAGCTTCATAGAGTTTGATAAATAGGTATTGAGTCCATTTGTAGTAATCTGGCAAACAGGTAGTGATTTCCTGCCAAAAAAAGGAAGAGGCATAAATGCACAGTCAGACCCTGCAAGCACTGCACCACACATACCACAGCTTTGAGATTCAGTTCTTACAAGCAACCAAATTGCCAAGTATTAACCAACTTATCTCCGCTAACTCTCAAAGTGAGGGAATAGCCATTTATTCTGGGAAGAAAGAGATGGTGTTATTGGAATGTCTCCTCCATCTTTCCTAGATATTTACAATGATAAGAGACTCTCGAGTCTTTTGTCTATCTCCCATGACTATCAAGCTACAGTACAGGAAACGGCTATGAACTCTAAATTGTATGCGTGTGGTATGGGGTATGTGCATGAGTGCTGTTATTGATGGAGGCCAGAAGAGGTTGCCAGACCCCCTGGAACTGGAGTACAGATGGCTGTGAAATGCCAGAATTCGGGTCCTCTAAAAGAGCAGCAAGTACTCTTAACTTCTGAGCCATCTTTCCAATCTAGCTATGGACATTTCTGCCAGGATAAACATATGCTGGGGAACAAGAATATAGTTCATCTGAAAAGCAATTATGTCAAGAGTATTTCATTTCAAACTAAATCTTGTGTCTACATAGAACCTACGGTTTGATAGTCTCCATAGCCTCATTATTCTCCCTTTATTGTATAATATAAACCAATCTTTTGTCTACATGGGGAAATTAATCAAAAATTCCTAAAGTTTACATTTTGCCTGAAAAACACTTTTAAATATAAAATTAAAAAAAAAATGGAACTTCACTAACTGATGAGGCTTGAAGTTGGTAAAGTCGAAGTAACTTATAAGTCATGTATTTCTTTTTTTCTAGTGCTGCTGAACTTTAAGTAAAAGCCATGGATAAAGGGCTGGGGTATAGCTTAGTGAGTACTTGGTTGCCCAGCAACCCTGAGGCCTTGCAGTTAATCCTCAGCACTGCTATTGGTGGAAAAAGAGAAAAGGGGGTTGCTGTGGAACAATCGTTGTACACTGTAAATATGTATCACTCTCATTGGTTAATAAAGAACTGACGGGCCTTTAGTTGGGCAGGAAGAGACAGAATGGAGAGACAGACTAGGAGGATGCTGGGAAAACAGGTAGAGTCTCAAGAGTCACCATTCAGAAACAGAGGAAACAGAATGGGTACAAAATGAGATAACAAGCCATGAGATATGTGGTAGAACACAGATAAGAAACATGGGTTAATTTAAGTTGTAAGAGCTAGTTAGTAATAAGCCTGAGCTATTGGCCAAGCACTTATAATTAATATTAAGTCTTTGTGTTGGTTATTTGGGAACTGGTGGGCAGGAAAGAAAAGTCTATCTACAGGGGATAGCGGGAAAGTGTTTCTAAAATGGCCCCACCTGTAGCTGACTTTCTACAAAAGATATACTCTACCCAAGTGCAGACCACTTCTACATTCCTTAAGATGAATAAATGAGGAAAGCTTCAAACCCAGGAGGAAAGCAGGTATAATAGAAAGCAGTAACCTAAAAGGGCTGCTTTTCTTATGTAGATTCATTCATTCCGTTTGAGACAAGGTCTCACGTATTCAAGGCAAGGCTAGCCTCAAACTTTGAATTTCTGATCTACCTGCTTCTTGAATGTGGAGTTATAGGCACATGCCACTCACTACACCTAGACTGTGTGCTGCTGGGGATCTAATTAATCCAGGGTTTCATGAATGTTAGGCAAGCATTCTAGCAATTGAGCTGCATTCCTAGCTTTCCTTGGTTGTTTTATTACTGTTGTTTTGTTATTGATGCTGTTTTAAATAGCAGAGCGCTAATATTAAAAAACAAAAATTTCAGGTGGTACTTGGGATCAAACCCAGGGACTCAGGCATGCTAACAAGTGCTCTAACACTGAGCTATAACCCCAGCCCAGAAAAGAGTTTTCTTATTTTAATGCAGAATAGGGATTGGAGAGATAGCTCAGCAATTAAGAGAACTGGCTGTTCTTCCAGGTCCTGGGTTCAATTCCCAGCACCCACATGGCAGCTTAGAACTGTTTATAACTGTAGTCTCATGGAGTTTGGTCCCTTTTAGTAGTGTGCAGACATAAATACAGGCAAGATATCCATATACATAAAATAAATGAATGAATCTTTTTCTAAAGATGCAGAATAACTCAACTCTGACTACCAGTTCCATGTCCCCACGATGACACACAGTGATCCCAAGCAGCCTGGCCCCCACCAATGCCTAAGCTGTGGTTTCTCTGCCACACACATGAATCACCAGCTCCCAGGAACTCCATAGGCATCTGGTATACGGGTGCCAGGCACGAGAGGAACTCTACCAGCTCAAGAATCCGACTAACAGACAGGGAGTGTTGTCTCTTCAAGTCAACTTCATCAGTGCTAAAGCTGACTTCTCAACCTTTCACCTACTAGCATGGCACAGAATTGCTCTCTGTAGCTTTTCTGGTCAAATATCTTTAAAATCTCCACTTTTAACACGTCAGGAGCCATCTTCTATTTTGTTTCACTCATCATTCTATGCTCTCCAACACAGAGGAACCCCCAAAGTGCTGCTGAATTGGAAATAAGATAGACATGTGAAAGTCTGTATACAAAAGCAAATCTGTATATCTCATTTAGGTTTCACAGCTAAATTTTCATTGTATAGCGGTCACAAGTACACAAGGAAAATAGATTGAATTGAAGGGTAGGGTGGGTGAGGGATGGGTGAGGATTATGGGAAAATTATCTTAGACCTTGCTATTGTAGAAATATCTTTTTTTTTAAAAAAAAGATCTTTATCAAGTACAGTTTTAAAGAAGTATGTAAAGTAAATATGAAAAAATGAAAATATGAAAAAAAGACTTTATTTTGTGTGTATTTGAGTTGCTCATAATAAAATATCAAAAAATTCCAATGAATGTATTATAACAAATTAGAAAATGAATTATAATGACTATGCATTATAATGAGAATGTTTTATAATTCACTCTCTAAGCCCCTGAATCTGCTTCTGGACACTGAATAAAAGTCACATTGCAATAGAACAGCATTATCTTCAACTAGGTTTGTGGTTTTGGAAATCACCAGGGTAGAAAGAGTGGAGCAGGAGACCTTTATCTAGCCGTTCCTTCTGGGCACCAGCCAAGGTGAAAGGGGGAGTCTGGGCCCCTTTTCTTCCTAACTTCACATTTGGACTTGACCTGTTTTATCTGTTGCTTCTGCCATCTAGAGGAAACCCACGTGGTCACGGCCACTGCTGTGTGGTCACGGCCACTGTTGTGTGGTCATGGCCACTACTGTGCGACTGCCCAAGGAGGCTGGGCCTCAGGAGAGTGATGCTGAGCCTTCCTACCCATGGTAGGCCAGCTTTCTTACTAAGTCAAGTAACTTACAAGCAATGAGAGTCACACACCTCTTCTGGAACCTGCCATGATTCACCCATTAGAATAGAACAAAACAAAAACAGTGAATTCTCATCCTCTAAAATCATCAAAGGCATTCTTTTGAAACTACGTCACTTAAAAGTTTTTAATTTAAACAACTGGTTAAAAAGTAAAACCTTTTCACGTGCTCACTGTACACAGTTCTACAGTTAGAGCACATAGGATTTCACGTGCTCACTGTACACAGTTCTACACTTAGAGCACATAGGATTTCACGTGCCCACTGTACACAGTTCTACACTTAGAGAACATAGGATTTCACGTGCTCACTGTACACAGTTCTACA